TCCTTCTACTAGTTTTGGGCTTTTTTGTTCTTCTTTTTCTAGTTCCTTTAGGTGTAAGGTTTGATGGTTTATTTGAGATTTTTCTTGTTTCTTGAGATAGGCCTGTATGGCTATATACTTCCTTCTTAGAACTGCTCTTGCTGCATCCCAAAGATTTTGAGCCTTTGTGTCTTCAGGGTATGAGTCGAGAGATGAAGGTACTAAGACTGGGTGGAGAGCTCCAGCTCTGGTACAGTTGCAACAGAGGCTTCAGCCAATGCCATGTAGAACTCTACAGCTGGATGGCTCCTTAAGGTTGTCCCAAATGGAGGCAGGGCAGCGAGTCTTTGTCCCCACATCTACTGGTTATTGGGGGCCATATGTGGCAAGTGTGTAACCTTAGGTGAGACCTCTTCATGAGTTAGGGAAGAATAAAGATCTCTCTGGTGTGCCTGGGTGGCTCAGTCAGTTAAGTGTCTGCCTTCAGCTCAGGTCATGATCCCAGGGTCCTGAGATCGAGTCCTGCATCGAGCTCCTTGCTCAGTGGGGAGCATGCTTCTCCCTCTGCCTGCCACTCCCCCTGCTTCTGCGCTCTCTCTCTCTCTGACAAATAAATAAAATCTTTAAAAAAAAAAAAAAGAATAAAGATCTCTGAAGAAGGGACCTGGGCTGTGCCTCACAATATCCACTACAGCTCATGTGTGTTACTCATTTAATATAGTCTCAGATATGATATAGAAGTGTTTTATTTAGGATTCTTATAGTTAGTCATTAGTGTGATGAGCTTGCCTTTTTTCCCCTCAATGTGTGGAGTACTATGTCCGGGTAATTCCAGCTTTCTGAACCAATGCAGAGTACAGAAAATGAGAGAACAGTCCATTTTAATTAGTTGACAATATAATGGAGAAGCTTACTATTTCTTAATATTTAAAGGAACTCACTTGAACTCATCTGGATCTTTGTGGGGGCATAAATTATGGTTTTTAGTACACACACATTTTTTTCTTTACATATTCTTATCAGAGTCATTTTATATTTTCCTAGAATATCATTTTATTTCAGAGATTTTAAGTTAGGGAATAAATGATAAGAATACAATATTATAAAGTAAAGAAGATGAATGATTTGTCAATGAGGCATTGCCCATTCCACCTTTCCCTTTTCTTGGTCTCCTTTTTGTAATTTGAGTTGCTGTCTGTATTTCTATAGGACCTCTCTGGGTGCAGCAGAGTAACCATGGTTTATGGCTTTTCCCTGGTTAGGATGCTTTAGATGTCCTAAGGGTGTCAGCCCTCACCTGTCAGGTGAGCCCTCAGCGCTCATGGCTCTTTTCTTCGGGAAAAGACCACCCTGCCTGGGTGGTCTCAGTATTCTGAATGCAGAATATGTACCCTTTAACTCTCTGCTCATTCTTTTTCAAAAGGCTGATCCATTTCTTCAGTTCAGGTGGGTATTTATGGAGCACTCACCTTACGCCAGGCACAAATTTAAAACCACGAGCAGAGCAGACACATTTCCTCCCCTCATCGAGCTGATGCTATGGCTAAGGAGTCAGAGGTAAATCACTTAGGTAAATAAGGCGCTAGTGCTTCGTCATGGTGTGGAGAAAAGTAAAGTGGGCATAGGAGCAAGAATTTGGGGGGTGGAGAAGGAGGGGGCTTGCGGTTTGGGTGGGGTAGCCAGGGCAGGTCTCACTGAGGTGGCTGCATGAAGGATACCCCTGCGGGAGGTGTGGGCATGCATCCCGCGGCCATGCAGGGAAGAGAACAAGTATGTGCCATGGTGAGGGACCCCGGGGCAGGAGTGCGCCTCTACCGGCAGAGATGGATCACGGAGGAAGGCAGCCAGGTCAGAAGGAGAACAATGTCAGAAGCAGGAGGAGGCCCTCAGATCTGGAAGGAAATGCGGTGGCGTTGCTTTGGAGGACTTTGACTTTTACTCTGTGTGAAATGAGGACATTGGAGGATTTTGAGCAGAGGAGAGGCGTGATCTATTTTACTTTTTACCAGGTTCATTCTGGCTGCTATGCTGAGAATCGGCCGGCAGGGTCAAGGGCAGAAAGCAGTTAGGGAGCGGAAGGGTACGTGCTTCAGATGACCATTTCTCCAGACAGTTTGGTTTAATCTAAGGATAAAATGCAGACTGCTTTCTTTTAGCCCACGTAGAACTTTGTTTACTCATTTGTATTAATGAAAGCCAATGCCATGAAAATGACCCACACAAGGCAGTCAAATAAAAGCCCACCATTGTTCAACCATGAGAATGTTCCTGCATCATCTGGGGTGCTTTTTCTGGGACCCAGTTCTTTCTTGTCTCCATCCTGGGAAAAACTGTTCCCCTGAGAACCAGCTTGTTTTTCTCTCCTGTACATTGTTAATCTTCTAGTGTCTCCCTGCTTTTTTATTGACAAAGTGCTCAGAACTAGATCTACAGTTCACCTCTAGCAAGAGTACAGAACCCGTGGCTCTGCATTCACTGTGTTTCCTACCCTTATTTCCATACAGCTCCATTACAAGGGAAGCTTTTATTCTATTTTTTTGAGTCACTTTAAAATGTGGGAAGCTACAGACAAATTATAGAGGATGCAAAGAGTATCACCTACAGTAAAAAGAAAAATCCAGTTCAAAGCTTGGGTCATTTGTATTCTATTTTTGTTTCCATAAATGAAAAAAAATATATATGCAAATATATATGCATACATAAACATAAATAAATAAATACACACACATACACACACACACAGGATTTTCAGGCTGAAACCTTTAGCAGCTTGATATATCACTAAAGCATCCTTCTGTGTCCCGACAGGTTTCAGTGCTCTTAGTCTTCTACCTCAAGTTTCTAAATGTGTTACTTTATCTCCCAGCAGTGTTTGCCGATGATGCTGGACTGAGACCAGCCATCTAGGTTGGGCTGGATGCTTAGGACTAACAGTAGAGTTTATTAAAAATATACCCCTCAGCCTCTGCTATTCTTTCTGACTGAATGAGGCTTGAGAACTTTGAAAATATTTTGCACAAACAATATATTTTCCGGTATCCTGGGTTTTTGAAGACATTTTTTTTTGTTTTTTTTTTCTTTATTGTTGAACAAGTGCTTGACAGGTATAGAAGTCTTGGGCTAGATTCTCCTTGTCTTAAGATTCTGAGTGTTGCCCATTGTCATTTATACCTACTATTAAATCATGTAGTCTTTGTGGCATTCATGGTGACACTCTCTCCACCCTGACACTTTTTTTTTAATTTATGTTAATACTTAAAATTTGAAGAAAAGAAAAGGCAGATACTCCTCGACATGAGTTTCTAAGAGTTGGTCATTTATTTTGCCTCTTAATCTCAAGTCCTTTTTTCCTTTCTAGAAAGTTCTTTTCGATTATGTCCCAGCCATTACTTATAATCTACAGGTTGTTTGTATTTCCCTTTGGAACATTTTATTCATAGGTTGGATTTCTGTGATCTCCCCTCCATTTCCATTTTCTTAGGTTTCATCCTTTTTGCTCCCTTTTCTTTATGTTCTCTGTGTTCTGGGATTACTTCTCAGTTTTGTTCTCTGCAGTGTTCAGCTGCGTTAAGTGAACCTTTCATCAGTTCTGTTAGGACTGTGTTTTGGCTCCTGGGCCTTCAGTTCATCAACATCCCTTCTCATCTCTGCGCTTTCTGGTTTAATAAAAGTAATATAAATATCACTTGGCATAGAAGGCCAGCATCTTCTGAGAAAATCTTCTGTTCATGAAGGTAAATCCTTTTTAGATGAGAAATTTCCCTTTTGAGCTATTATCCCTTTCTCCCTCTTGTGCAGTGAGATTTTTGTTTTTTCCCCTCCCGGGCTTTGGATTAGTCCTTCCTTGCCCCCTAATGCTTGAACAAGGCGAAATCTAACTGGGTCCAATGTGGAGCTGTACAGTGGAGAACTTGCCATCTGTTTCCTTCCCTTGATCATTGCAGTGACTCCCCCAGCTTTTTCCCACCACTTCCTGCCTCATGGATGGGGCAGAATGAAGTCTCACCCAACGGCTAAGAGCTGCCTGTCACCAATTTAGCCCACTCTGTGCTTAGCACTGCACTTGGCACGTGGGGGCGCTTGACAAGATGCTTTCCGAAAATCTGTAAAAGAAAATCCCCTTAGCAAAGGGTGTGATATTGAAACTATCTCAAAGCTGTGATAATCAGCATTTTGTAAGTAATTTTCTTACTTGATGGCCAAGCATGAAAGCACCATGAGTGACTCAGAATGTTTTTGACTCATGAATTTGATCTCAACAGAAATATATATTACCCTGGCTATTAAAACACAACAGTAATTTGTATTTTCTCTAATCCTGGATCGTAGCTTCCTTCCCGGTACCCGCCCCTCTTCTGCTGTCTAGAAATGCTGGCTCTTGATTTCCATTCAGCAGAGGTTGCCAATTTAGAAAGGACAGACATTTATCTTGATGCTTAGTAAAAGTGGAAATATATACATTTTGGATCCTGAAGTTATGCGGTGTGAGATCTTACTGATCTGATTTTTTTTTTTTTTTTGATTGGGAGAAAAATATAGAAGTTTTCTAGAAAACAGATCACACTGTGGGCTATACTCTTCATTTTATCAGCTGAAGATAAAATTAAAAAAAATCAAATCATCAGGTTATCCGATTTGTTTGTAATCTGCTCTTAGCGTAAAGGTTACCCTCCCCCATTCCCAGTATCTTTCAGAGACAAAATCCTCTCAAAATAGTAGGTAACTTAGAAACAATGCTTTAATTCTGAGATGGACAAGAGAGAAGCCTCATTTAACTGGGCTTTCCCCACCTTCCTCTGCAGTGGCTCAAAACAGGCCTCCTTTAATGAGAAAGTTTACCAGCGGAGATTAAACCAGTCAAGAATCAGAATGAAGGACCATGTCCAAGGTACCGGATGGTTTAATCTTCTGCAAGAACTTCATATCCCTTCAACCTTGGCAGCTGTAGATCAAACGGCAGAGTGTGAACATTAAAACCACGCAGTGAGAATAATGTGTCTCTATTTCATTTCTCTTTCCAGGTTTGAGATTTTTAAGAGCTCTCAGACTGATACAGTTTTCAGAAATTTTGCAGTTTCTGAATATCCTTAAAACAAGGTAAGATGTTCCTATTCACATTTTTTTCCTTGCTCTGGCCCCCATTGCCAAGTTGTAAATATCAGGTGTTTTTGTTTTCATCATTGTAAGGTGAGAGTTCTGTTAGTCTCAGAAAGAGTGCTCTAGGGGCGCCTGGGTGGCTCAGTCATTAAGCGTCTGCCTTCGGCTCAGGTCATGATCCCAGGGTCCTACGATTGAGCCCTGCATCAGGCTCCCTGCTCAGCGGGGCCTGCTTCTCCCTCTCCCGTTCCCCCTGCTTGTGTTCTCTCTCTCTGTCAAATAAATAAATAAAATCTTAAAAAAAAAACCCCAAAAAACAGAGTGATCTAACACAGAGATCTGGAGAAAGCCCAGAGTAGGACTTGGGTTTCTCCCCCCTGCAGAGCTGGGGACTATCTGATAAACAGAGAAACAGCTGTGCATGTGGGGAAGGAGACAGTTTTGGGGGGCTGTGCGGGTTGCTTGGAAGTTGGCCATAGCATCCTGGAGAGACAGTGCCCAGTGGATGAGGAATCGAGCAGCTCATTGATTGGGAAGTCTTTGCTCCCGGGTTCTGAATCACCCCTTTATTACATCACTAAATAAGAAATTGAACCTGAACGTAAAAGCAAGGGAAGCAGTGCTGTTTGAGAGAGACAATCACAAACCTCATACGGCAAACAGAAAATCATTTCATTTCAAAGTACATTTTGGATGTCCACTTTATAGCCAGGGTAGTCCCTGGGGCTTGCTCTGTGAATTGCCTTTTGGGGAATACCTAAAAATCTCCTGCCGAATGCACCATGACTACTTCTGTTAACTGTGTTATGATCTGGAAAACACTACTGGACCAGGAGGAAAAATCCCCTAGAGATCCCTTTCCTGATGACCTGCGGGTTTGCAGAGCTGGCCCGAAACCAGGCTGCCTTGATGAATAAACTAATAAAAGAGGTTAGACGTCCTCTAATGGAGAATAAGTACAGGCCATAAATTTCTCTTAGAGGAAATTACACTTTAAGAAGCTCACTGCTAATGTTCCATTTCCTCTTAGGTTGACGTGTTTGATAAATGATTAAAAACAGGACACTTCTGGATTTTGTGATTTATAATTAATACACCTGCATTTTGGGAGCCTTGGATTCAGCATCGTTTTCCCAGTCACTGAGGCTGGGGACTTAGCTTGCCGAACCTGTCACTGCCAACACATGCGACAGGCTATTGGCCTCCCTCTTTGGGGTTCGTGTTTTTTTGTTTATTTTGGTTTGTCTTTTTAATTTATTTTTAATTTATTTTTATTTATTATTATTATTTTTTGGATATTTTGGTTTGTTTTAATTCCACATCGGTTTCTCCTCGATAACTATTCATCTGTGTGCATGTGGGGTAAATTCGCTTTCTGTTAGCCAAGGTAAAAAGCAAACGAGCAGGGCACCTGGGTGGCTCAGTTCGTTAAGCAACTGCCTTCAGCTCAGGTCATGATCCTGGAGTCCCGGGATCGAGTCCCACATCGGGCTCCCTGCTCAGCGGGGAGTCTGCTTCTCCCTCTGACCCTCTTCCCTCTCGTGCTCTCTATCTCTCATTCTCTCTCTCTCAAATAAATAAATAAAATCTTTAAAAAAAAAAAGCAAACGAGCATCTACTACAGTAGAAGTCCTGTCTAGCGTGTCCCAACCACACTGCATTTTTATTACCCTGGGGTGAACATTTATTGATGTTCCATTTAATAGTACGTAATATTACTAATATTGAGTGAATATTGTTATTCTTCATATTTCTTCTGGGCGACAGGAAACTTTCTTGGCTCCTTCTCCCTTTTTATGGCTCTTCTGGGCAATGGACTCATATTACTCTTGAAATTAAAAGTATCGATAAACTAGTGGCCCTCCATGCTTACCTTTGTCACAATTGCCCCACTAAACTATATTTTTTAGGGTAGAACCGGTGTGTACCCAGGGCCAAGCACAGGGAGTGTATTTAAGAGACACTTGTTTTTTCCAGTGTGGAAGGTGTTATGTGGAGTTAACCACACTCCCAAATGTGATATAAGGCCCCTCGTTCCCTGGTTTGTGTGTACATTATAAATTAGGGGGGGTTTTAATGCTCTGACACCAGTGTTTTAAGAGTGTGCCATTACTCCAAGGAATAACGTGGAAAGAAAACTGTTCTCATTTTTCTTGCATTCCATATGGACCATTTTTGGACTTGGGAGAACAATAAGCCAGGTGAATAAAGTATCTTTTCCTGGACTTGTATGAAGAGACCCACCAATTTCCCATTCCTTGGAGAAGCTTCCTTTCTGTTAGGTGCAGGAAATAGCACTAACACCCCCGGTGATAACCGCACAGTTAGGGTGGTTCATTCTCCCAGTGCACAGGGGAGAGAGCCGAAGCATCCAGCTAGGGAGAGAGGTGACTATAAGTCGGGAGAGAGTGGCCTTAGAGAGGGTCCCCGGGGTGGCAGGCTGCTGGGTGTCTGCTCTCCTGAGACCCAAACAGCATTTCCCCAGCACCCCACTTCCCACTCAGTTAAACTCTTTCTGTGGTGGAGGGGGTTTTCTGCACAACCCCACAACTTGGATTATCCCAGTGCCTGTTGCTTATGCAGGTGACTGGGTTAATTCAACAAGCCCGAATTGAGTGTCCATTCGTACCAGTGGCCAGGCAGGTGCCAGAGTAGCATCCTGCCGTCAGAGAGCGCAAGGAGAGGGAGAGCCAGCAGGAGCTGTGGTGGGTTGGTGCTAGGACACAGGTACATCGGGGGGCAGTGAGGCATGGAGGAGGGGAATGAAACCAGGCTTGACACCCGTGTACGGTAGTCAAGCCTGTTTTCAAGGAAAAGGGATTGTCTTAGGTGAGCTTCCTAGAAAACTAGGTGTCGTCCATGTGGGGCTGGGCTTGGGCAGGTGAGGGCCAGAGGAGGCAGTGCTGACCTCCAGTCACAGAAGTTGCAAGAGCACACAGGTGAGAGAAATTGTTCCTTGGGGGAGCTTTGGGTAATCCTGTGGGCCTGTATACTGGGGGCTTTGTGCCAGGAAAACAAAGATGACATTAGGAGGGCCTGCAAGGGCCAGATCCCAGACTCGGAACAAAACCTGACTTAATTGTAAGAACTCTAGAGGCTTGAGACCAACTCTCTGAGCCTATTTTCTCTCCTTCCCTCTGTGCACCCCCGAGCCCAGATCCTGAAGGCTCTGATGCCGAGAAGAGGAAGCCTCGGTTTTTATAGGGCTTTGGACACAGCTTATTTTCTGGTGACTCCTCTGTACTCTGCTGTGTTCACAGTGACCTTCCAGGAGGGTGGGTGCAGCCCTGGAATCTTCTCTAGGGGGTTTTGTCTGGCTTTCTCCGGTGGCCAATCCCCACCACCGATCTGTGGCATTAGGTGGCATTAGGTAGGGATAGAGACTTTGCAAATGTGATTTGAAATAATGGCTTGAAATTGCAGTTTCATTTTCTGTCCTTTGGCTGCCTTGCTTCGCAAAGAGCTGGAAGAAACAGAGCAGAGAAGTATATGGGGGAGAGAGAGAGAATTAAGTGGGCAGCAACGGAAACCGGAGTGAACAGAATGACAGAGAAAACACAGATGAGAGAAACAAGTGACAGTGATGGGACAGCATCAGGGCCATTCCTTAAACTGCCAGCCAACAGGGCAGCCTACCGTGCTCCTTGTCTGGAAAATGGCCTATTGAGGGGGACAGGGTCCCTTCCATGTCATTGTCTGAGCTTTTGACAGTGCCTCAGTGGCCCTGCATACTGACAAGCAGACTCACAGAGGAGATGACACATAATTATTCTACACTCAGAGCAAAATAAGTAGCTCGGTTTTAAAGCCTGTCATTCCACATCTCATTTGATGTGTACATGTTGATGATGAAAACGTGGGTCATCCAACAATTTGTTTTAAATGGCAATGGCCTTACTAATTATTAAAGTAGACTATGCTTGGGGCTCAGTCGGTTAAGCATCCAACTCTTGATTTCAGCTCAGGTCATGATCTCAGGGTCGTGAGATCGAGCCCCCTCCATCAGGGTCTGTGCTGGGTGTGGAGCCTGCTTGGGATTCTCTCTCTCCCTCTCTCTCTGCCCCTCCCCACCCTGTGCTGACTCTCTAAAAAAAAATAATAATAATATGTAGAAAAGCATAAAGGATAAAGTAAAACTTCCCCAACCCCACCTGTGGTTGAGACAAACATTACTAATATTCTCCCATATCACTTTTATTTCCCGCAGAGTGTTCCATGATATGTGTGCACCATCATTTACCTGACCCACACATTTTGGGGGAACATTTGGAGAACTAAAATCACTGTACTACAAATATGATCTTGGAAATGGCTCCAAGGTTAAGTTCTTAAAAAAGAGTATTCATTATGGAGATGGCAAGGGATTGTCCGGGTGGAGGCCATACCATGAAGGCTCTTATGCATCATGGATTTAACTTGGAGAATGAGAAGGAATCACTGAAGGGTTTAAGTAGGACAGGAATGTGGTCAGATTTACATTTTAGAAAGATCTACTAGTCCACCGATCATATGACGGGTTTGAAGCATCTAAGACTGGAGACCGTTAGACCAGTCAGGGCAGTAGTCCAGGCAAGCAGTACCAGGAACTGGCCTTGAGCAGTGCAGGTCGGGGTAGAGAGCACAAAGAGGGGTGGAGAGGTATTTAAGGGGCAGAATTGACGGAACCTGATTTTGCTTATAGTTCAGACCATTTATCTCAATTTGATCTTATCCTGTTGACTTTTCAGGGGTGGGTATCTTACATCTGTCCAGCAAAGGTAACAATAAAAAAAAAAAAAAGCCACTGACACCTGGCTGTACCCTAAGCCACAAAGGAGGAAAATAGTGGACAAGCCAAACAGGGACAGATTTGCCCTTTTTTGTAGAAAATGGATGCCATTTTTCAGTGTTAACCAAGACATGTCTTGTTAAATACAGTGAGGGCAAAGATGGTGCACACTAGCTCTGGGTTTGTAGCTATACTTTCAGAAAGAGACAGACTTTCTCTCTTCCAGTATGTA